CATCATCAATCCCAAGCTTTTTTCTTTTCACACTTTTTGGTAGAAAATGAAAAACTTTGCATTTGTGATTAAACCTTTCATGTACAAGTAAAAATCACTTTCATTTTAGTACGAATTGGGTCTGTAACACCCATTTAAAAAAAATCACAATTTAAAGACCAATTTATTTCAAAACAAAAAAAAATATTCTACAATAAAAAATTGCACCGCCTAATGCAAAATCTGATTCACTTTTGGTGAAAAACTGACCCACAAACTGTTATATTGATGGGGCATTTAAATAGTCCTCGGATACTAATAGTTCTTCGACACTGTGAAGCAGATTTTCTTCAGATCTTTCTGGTTCAGGGCCCAATAGCCAAAGCAGTGCTTCGCTCCCATCAGTTTGTCGTAAGCTTTTATAAAGTTGTACCTCAACATTAGCTGTTTTTAGGTTGACTTGGGGATTAAAAGAATTTTCAGAGATCACAGCTCTGACCTCGGCTGATTAACTTTTCTTCAGATGTACGTCCCAAGAACGCAAATTATTGGTCCAAAATACATTATAACGCCCGTGTAGGGCAGGTGTAGCCATATGGTGACACACAAATGCACCTCTTGTGGTTTCACATGTTGCCTCTCTTAAGGAATATCTATGCAAAATAAAACAAAATACCTCATAATTGTACTTGATACAGAATTTATCAATATACATTAACTTACCATTGGCTATTTCGCAGTATACCAAGTGACTTTCACTGCATTATTTGACTGCAAAGAATTTTCTCCGTTCACAATGCATTTCCGATCGTCAACAAAAAAAAAACTGGTAATTGCCTTTATTGTTAACACATGTCTTTCTGTCATTATTAATAACAAATACAATAAAACCAGTCCACAGACATATACAACCTAATGTGAACCAATATCACAGAACTAATATATCATCCAAAAATTGTGATTATGATTGTTTGTTGTGACGAAAATACGAAATCAACTGTCATATTTTGGGGATTTTCACGATCTAAACGTCACTAGCCCTCCAAAATATTCGCGTTCCTTTTCTGTTCGGCGTGTTTCTGGATTTTCCGTTTCACTCATGCGCAAGTCATTAGAAACGATGTACGTTACTTTGATGAACAACGTTGTTTTTAATTTGCGATATTTCTTTAACACAAGCTTTTTATATAGTTAAACCTTTAGTAACAGGAAGATAATTGTACAGTTTTTATCGCTTGTAGCATGAACTAGTTAAGATTTCTACCTGTGCGGTGTATTTTGTCTGTAAAATCAAGCTCCCATAAGAAACCCATAGTAGAATTTTTGAATTATGAACTGCCGCGCATTCTAAATTCTAACCTTACTTTACTGGTCAATAGGTGTTAAATTATTTTCAGTAACTGGACGAGAATGTGAATCTTTGGTTAATTTTACGACTTCATTGCGTAGTTGAGAATTCTCCAAGCATAGATTACGAATTTCTGTTTGTAAAATATCAATTTTATCCACGAAAGGCTGCAATTCACTTTTAACAATGCCTGCCACTAATTCTCTAAACTGGTCAGTGGAGAGGTACCAACCTTGCCTATCCAAAGAAACTGTATTACCAGATTTAATGCAAACTCCAGAGATCACACCAGGTTTCGATTTACAAGATGTACAACAAAAGCTAGTAAGGAGTCCTGCATCCTGCATATTATCAAATGCAGTATCTGATACACCAGCGCATGAAACGTGATAATTATGGGAACAATCTTTACAGGAGATGTAATTATCCGTACGTCCGATTGTACGCAAACATTTATGACACTTGACCGCCATTAGGTGATAATTTGCAAATAGCCAAATATAAAGCAACAACTAGAAAAATAAAGAAAACACCGCCTCCACAAGGGAGGCAGTGAAAAACACAAATCAGCGCCTATCTACTATGCAGAATGTAAAAACAAGTGATTAAAATATACTACTAGGTCACTGCAGATAATAAACCTGACAATTTTCGCTAATTTACCACAAACCCTTTAACTTATGGATGCACTAATCCCCCAAGAGGATCAGACCTTTCATTCTTGTACAATGAACCAAAAATTTAGAATAGTTTCACTGAAAAACCACTATAAAACCAATCAATTACGACGAGCTCACAGCACACACCACAGCACCGTCACATGGGATCAGTATTGTGAGACAAACGTAGACGTGGATAAGACGTCTAGAACGTAACAAAATACAAATTTGCCGTTCTTGTTCGTAGGCGTTCATTATTGCCGGTCATAAACAATTTATTCGCCACTTCATCTTTTTATGTTCCAGTTCTTCGATTTGTCTTTGCTGGCATGCGATACGACGACCGCAATAAAAATCATAAGAATTTATGTATTTTATTTATTAAAACAATACTGTGTCGTCGAATTTACGGTTTTATTTATTTTCTTTGTAAGTGATGTCGAAATTGGCGCAGCAAGTAGCAAGTTGGTATCAATTAAGAATGCGAAAACACCCAGGGTGGTTAAAGAGAGTTGAGAAACTTTTCTCTTTGAGGGCAAAAACAGAATTTCTGATGGTCGGTACGTGGAGCCTATGGTAGAATTTACAAGGCGTTTTTTTTTCTCTTTTATTCATAAGTGATGTCGAAAATTGGTGTAGAGTTTATGGCAATTAAGAATGCGAAAATACCCAGGGTGGTTAAAGAGAGTGTAAAAACTTTGCTCCTTGAGCACAAAAGTTATTTAAATTATAATAAGGGAAGGTGGTTTCTTTGGCTTTCCACATTGGAAAATTAGTTTTTCCTCAAAGTAACTTTTGGTGAAACTAAAGCAGAAGTTGCAAATTTAATTCTGAATGAAGTTAATGGTCTGTATCTCGAAAAGTGAATGTTAAATTTTGTATCGCATAATATTTTCAATGAGAAACATTTCAAATACCATTACACCCAATTAAAAAGCCTAAATTTTATAGAAAGTTTCCTTCAAGTTAAAATTAAACTACATTTTCATATTGTTCACAAAAGGTTTTCCTAAAATTTTAATTGAGTTTAAGATAATTCGCCGGCGGGAAGAGGCGGATCGAAAGCGCAAAGTGAGATGGCTGAGTGACATCTGGTTAAAACTGTTGATACATGCAGATGTACAGGTAGACGCAAACATCAAATAATTAGCCCGTTAATAACGCAAAGTGTATTAGTATGAAAAGCACGAACGCTGCGTAATTTATTCATAAATTTAAAACTCGCCCCTTTAAATTTAATCACTCAGACAGTTCACTATAAAACGCTCCAACAAATAAAAAATTTATACCGAAGAAAAGTTCCACTTATCGCCCTCTCAAAGCGAACTGTGTATCTTTGCTCCAATTTAAACGCATTTTTAACCTAACGCCGATTCATCCGTTCTGGAAGCCGATGACATATATTTTTTATGATCAAGGGCAAGTTATTTGCGGACGATCGCAATATTTTTAGAACCTATCTTATGTCGGACAGCGGCGGTGTTTGCAATTTTAACTCCGAAAATACGTATCTTTGCGTATCGGGATCTATCTGTCACGAGTTTCTCTGCGCCAGATGATTTGCGACTAAATGGGTTTCGAGTAATTTTAAAAGCGCCGTCCGAGTTCTAACAGCCAAATTTGCAAGTTGTCACGGGTAAAAACTATTCTCATTAATTCAGAAATAGGTAGAAAAGAGACGCGAAAATTTAAGCCGGGTCGCTTTAAAAAGTCGCCTCTGCAATATGGTCGGTCTGCTGTGCTTGTGGGACCGTCGAAGAAAACTTCAGAAAAATGCTCGCGGGAACAAGTACATTAACCGCCGAGGGTTTATTTTTAATAATAGAACATCGACGTAACTCTTCGTTTAATTGCGCGCGGTAAGAAAAAGGAGGACGGAAAACGTCGGGAAATCGACAAACCTGGTCGAGGGTGAAAAAACGGGGAGAAGCCTTTGCCGTGTCGCAATGAATTAATTTTAATTGTTTAAAAACGTCCGTAAAGTCTAGTCGACGCGTTACGCGGGACCGTTGCGGACTTTTTGGCGATTAAGTTCTTTTTATTTTTGCGCTCTTGAAAAAAAAAAAATTCAAGTCCTGGGTAAATGCTCCGTTAATCTCAACGGATTAGCCGAGCCCGAGTGTTTTTATAGTATTATGGTTATTCATGACAAAATTTTCTTAACTGAGAAAGTGCGAAAGATAAAGCGGTGACCCCTGGAATACGCCGATAACTCGGTGTTGGTACCCTCTTGTCTCTTGTGTATTCTTTTTCAGTTTATAAGCTTGTAATAGTTGAGATAAAAAATGACGTATCGCGTATTAGGAGTTGATATATACGTAGAAAGGAATGTAATTTATTTAAAATGATGTATGTTCCTTTCAGGAATAGGATTTAACAAAGAAGAGATATTATTTGGTTTTGACAGTGTCGATTTTACCGAATCTAAATGTAGCGGTAAGTATGTATTCGGTAAGAATGTGCGCGAGACGTCTAAAGATAGTATTCAGAAATTGGTACGTCTGCGGATGAAAGGGTTTGCCAGAAGGAATAGAATTTGATTATAATGTGTGATTGTGTTCGGTAGGCAGAGGCAGGAGATTAATTAAATTTTTAATATGCGGTATAGATGTGGGTTTGTGTGTGTATGTGTAAGTAAGAGGATGGAGGATGAGGATCTGTGGGTTGTAGAAAGAACGCTTTCGTTTGCGAGATGTCAGATACATTACCTAGGAGCGCACACACATTAGAGTTGCGTCGCGAGCGTTATGCGAGGAATGCAATATTTGAGCGGCGTATCGCAATTCGCAAAGGGAGGAAGGCGGCAGTTCGCCTTAATATTAATTCTGGTTGGTAAATTTGAATGTGGGGGCGAATCCTTTGTGCTTGCGATGCGTTTTTTGAAGATTCGTCAAGTTCGGTTGCGACGAAGTTTCGGGGTGGTTGGTTCCGCAGTCGTGCCCGTAGGCAATAGGGTCGGAGTTGCGCCTCCGGGGTTGTCTGTGTGCCGTGTGCGGTGGTGGTGTGTGCTGGCGGCGGTAGCCCGAATCGGCATACCCGGGAGAGGCGCGCGCACCGGCGGGGTATCGATCCTCTTTCGATGCGGAGTCGACCTGCTGAGCACGGTCAGAGCACCGAGCGGAGTCCGTAAATCGAGTGTTGGCGAGGTGTTGCAGCTGGTGTGCTTGCCTCGTCTAGGTCCTCTGAAATGGCCAGTGTGGTTCCGCGAGTGACGTCCGTCGAGCTCAGCTAGTAGCGGTGGTCGCTGGTGGGACGGTGGGCGTGTGTCTTCAAGACGCCCGGACGCCGACACTCCGGGGCATGACGGCCAAGTCCGGAGGATTGTCGCCGAAGACATGAGCAGCCCCACATCGAGTTAGGATGGTCCGGAGCGAGCAAGCGCTGGCGCTGCTGGCCACAGCCTTCCTGCTCTTCATCATGCCTCCAGGTAAACTTAACCCTTCTTTATTAACGTCGGTCGGTCGGTCGACTCATTCCGAATCTTAAGGATGGATTCTTCGGACGTCTACCTGAACGATACGCGCGCGATACTTCCTCCTCATTGTCGCGTGTTTTATGCAGAGCCTCATCTCATATTCATGAAATGTGAATTTACCTTCGAACAGTTTTTAACTCAATCCCCTTTATGTACCTAACTCAAACATTCCGTCTACCTACTCGGCTGTCATTCGCAAGCACATTTCGATTCAAATCACAAACACATTTCGATATTACGTTAGGCTATTAGGATAATAAATGGCACTTTTGCCGCCTCCCCACGAACTACCGGATTATCTACTAAATTTGATGCATTGCGAACATCAGACGCATCTGATACGCTCGTCGGATGTATGAAGAAGAATAATTAATAGTCGGTTGGTTGGTTCGTCGTCGGAAGGCATAGGAGGCATTAGAACAGAAGAAGATTGGCATGTGTCACGTACCGTTTAAATCACTTTCAACGTTTTCAGATCGATATAATCCCACAATCCCCGTTCATGTAGGTCATACCCCACATTTTAACGTCGCTCATTTTTCGCAGGCACTCACTCACCAAAAAAGGGGGAACTTGGCAAAAACTTCTAAAACGACGCTATTGATAAATTCGTCAACGTCGCGATTATGCCTTGAGAAACTTTAAGCCCGACTGTGCTATACGGAGTTAATTAGGGTTGACGTGATGGGATGGAATGAGAAAGTCGCAGTTTAAATATTGTTCTTTGGTCTTGGGTTTTATTAAAGTCGACTTCACTATTAGAAGAAACTTTTCGATCTTCGGCTTTATGCGTCGTCGTAAATAAACGAAATCGCAGCCGGAGTTTTCGTTGATTTCGTTGCAGGCCGCGTAAACTCTGCCAATTATTTATGATTAACGACGTGCTTCTGTTTCTCTCATAAAACTCCTTTTCGTGACTATGTTTCGATACGAATCCGACTTAATTACAAGAGAATTTACTGTTATTGATTTTATCATTTAGATAGAATTTTGCGAGAGTTCGTACTAACAACTAACAAGGCACTCGAAATGGTTCCAGGTTCGCAGCAGGGGCAGCACGAAAAGCGGCTACTAAACAACTTGTTGGGGCCCTATAACGTCTTGGAGAGACCCGTAGCCAACGAGTCAGAACCTCTTGAAGTCAAGTTCGGCCTAACTTTGCAGCAAATCATTGATGTGGTCAGTATATTCGATTTTTTTTCCTTCCTCGCTAGCGATAATTTAAGAATAGGGTGCGAGAAAGTAAATGTAGAGAGACAGGAAATAAAGGAAGGGCGACACAATTAGTTGATAAGACGACATGAGGTATTGTTAATGGTTTCTCTCTTGTTTGGGGGTGAATGCTGTCTTATCGACGTATGTCGAGCCCGGATGGGTGCGATAGGACCTGTTCGGATGTAAATATGAATATCGGTCGATATCTGTTGCCGTTGTTGACGATAACCGATTAATTTGTAATAGTAGTCGTATACCTCTAACACGTAACAAGTAAAATACTCCACCAGAGAGGGTTCAATATAAGATACTGCCTTGTTGTTTTATTATTGTTTTCCCTTGTGTAGGACGAAAAGAATCAGATTCTCACGACAAACGCGTGGTTGAATTTGGTAAGTGCCATGTGGTCCAGCCGGCCTCTCGCAATGTTATACAAGCAGAGCGAACACTAGGTGCCCATGACTAGTGTCCGTCTCTGGGCTATGTGGCTATGGACGTATATAGCTCCCACGACGGCGATGTTAACGATCTTTCGGTTGATCGCGTTGCAGATCGCCGAATCATCGAATCCGACTGACCGACTCCTCCCTCCGAAAGTCTTTTAACATCTCCGAGCGCTGCCGGTCGTGCCTCTGGTGTTTGTTTCATAGCCGGTCCAAAAACGCCACGATGCGCGATCGGTGCGTGCGATGCATGCCTTGTTATGTGACTAACTACCGATGTTTCCCTTTTATTGTTTTACCATAGGACGAGAAGAATCAACTCCTAATAACAAATATTTGGCTTTCTTTGGTAAGTGAAAACCAATTAAATAACTAAACATATCTACACACACGGCAGTTGGTTGGTTATGTTCAGTCTGTTTTCAATCTTCTTTCATTCCTTCTAGCTGGTCGAACCCACCCGAATGATGGTGTGCTCTCCTATCTGTATATATCGAGCTATAGTAATTATTGTATTGCTGTGTCTCACGCCGGTCCTTATTGGTCCTTCTAGCTGCGTATGCCAGTATGCCTCCTGTAAAGTTGACTTAGTTGTTGCAGCATTGCCCGGTCCAGTAAAGTTAAGTACCAGTCCAACCAGTACCAGCCCAGAACCAGTGTCTTGAGTGTCACGGTTGCGTGCGGAATTGGACTCCAGTCCCTTTTGCCTGCGGTCGTTGCTGTCGAAGCCACCGACAAACACCGACCCTATTCCTATATAATTATATATCGGCAAAACGGTCATGTCATCGGTGTCGAGACAACGACAGCTTCGACCGTTACGGTCCGAGTAGCGATAGCGTAGTCGTAGCCGTAGCCGAGACCTGTAACTAGCGACATTCACAGAACAGAGACGGCGTCGACGTGCGTTCCAGTCGACGCTGTATATATATATTCACATAAGTGTATACTATGTTTTGTTTTTTGTATTCGAAGCTGAGATCGTTTATTATATGAGTAAATCCACTCAACAGAGTTCGTATGTTACTATGGTCTACTGCCGTGTGTGTGACATATCTTAAACTACATAATATAACTATGCTTTTTAACTAATCAATCGGTTTTTATTCTTATTATTATGATTATTATCATTATTAGATCTAGATGCGATTTCTTTCATTTTGTTTATAGCGAGTCTAGATAAAGTTTAGTTAGAAATTTTCAGTTAGATTTCATTTTTGATTAATTCATTATTCGATTCTTCTGGGGCGCTTTCCTTCTCAATCCGATCCCCGTCATGTTGTCGTCCAACCACCTAGACGGATCCTTTCGCATTCAGAAGAAGTTCGGGATCGTTTTGAGTTAGTTTTGACTATATCTCCAGAAAACTAAACACCTTTGGTTACAATAAACTGAAACATTTCTGTAAAATTATACACTAAACATGAACCGTTAAAATCAAGATACTAAAACTATCCTCCCGTGCATGCCGTCAGACCACTTCGTTACGCTTGTTGCTAAAGACGCCAGTGTGCTATAAGAATGGTCTGTTTAGTTCCAGTTTCCAGTTGAAGAAAAAAATTTTTTTTTTTTTGGAATTTTGTTATAATAAATTTGTGGAAACCGTCGCTAAACACATCCAGTATTTTGCCCACACCAGCATGGAGCTTTGAGGCTTGTAAAGCATCTGCAAGCATCCGACACACGCATTATTCGCACTAAATGTCGTCTCTATGTGGTTGTTAACCAGGGAGCAGGTAGCTTTGATTAGATTCTAGAACGAGGTTTTTCATTTTCGCCACGACGGAATCATTCGAAGCTACCCGTATGTGTCTAGAATGTAATTGTGAATATTAACCATTCCACAAGCTTGAATGTAAAGCGAAACACAGTAATAACGCGCTTCGTTTGTTCATTTTCATCCAGGAATGGAACGACTATAATCTCAAGTGGAACGAATCAGAATATGGCGGGGTCAAAGACTTACGGATTACTCCAAACAAGCTGTGGAAGCCTGATGTTCTTATGTATAACAGGTAACAAGTTTAGTGGCATGTTTCGGATGGAGATTTTGTTTCGAATCGTGTGTGCTTTTTAGTGTTTTAATTTTTAAATATGCTGAAATCATTTCACTTCAAAATTATTGTGCATGGTCAAAAGTAAGGCAGTGAGTTCTGAAACGTTGAAAGTTGTTTAAAGATTTGTTGGTACAAAAATAGTTGGTAGAGAGTGTAGAGTAGTCGATACATCATTTACCGGGGATCGTCCTTCTCTACATTGCTCAGTATTTTTTAGTAGTTGTTTGTTATATTATAAGGTTCTGTTTTTTTGGATGACGTAGTTTTGATGAGTATGTCTGACTGAGGTTGATGTAGGAAAGGACTTTCCGCATTCATTCGTGCTGGTATCGTAATACCGGTGGCTCGTTCGGTTTACAAATGAAGGTCTGCTCTGCCTGCTCCAAGAAGAATTTTTTGCGGTCCAGACAAGGTGAAAAGATACGTTGGAGCATGCAGACGCAAACGGAGTGATAGAATGCTTCGTCAGAGTATGTGTGTTGCGAACGATGAAAATTGGGCGGGAAGTACACAGACAGCTAGCCGTTGCTGTAGGCCACAGCTACTTCCGACCTTCTGGAGTCGAACGACAGGTTGATACCTCAGCCGCACCTTTTTCGTTTTTATCTATAGCTTCTTAAATCACACCATCACTTTACGATGTATGTTACGATAGTACATGATTACGTTGCATGTGTACTAACGTATTATTCTGTTTTCCTCTGCGGACGGTAGCAGCTTGAGACTTCGACTCCTGCTGGGCCGGAACGTCCCTGAAAACTCTCTCTCTAACAGCACTGAGTATAAACTCCTAAAAACTACATTAAACCCATGGGAAGAATATTTAAATCAGAAAGTAATTACGAGCGCGATCCCTTAATCCAACATCTTAATACACATAATTAAATAAAGCAACAGCTAAAGGCCAAAGGGCCAACATAAAACCTGAAGGGTAAATGCATAAAGATAAAGGACTGATAACTCCTTCCGGCTCCCCGGTGAGATGAATCTCGAGACAGTATAACGGAGATGGCTAGCTTGGCCGCCGCAACCGCGATGTACTTAGCTAAGATGTCGGACTAGCTGTTGATGTTGTGTCACGCCAGACTATACTAAAGGTCCTGGTGGCAGCACTGGATGTTGTTGCATGTAGAACGACGCGCAATCTCTCTCCCCCGACGCTGACACCGGCTGTCGGTCGGCTGTGGTGATATGTCGGTGTGTCGGTCTGGTGGTGACCGTCTCACGGTCTCTGACGATGCGACCAGCATGACTAAGTTTACAGCGGCGATGTTAACGTTTTATGTTGTTATGAAGTGCTGATGAGGGTTTCGACGGGACTTTCCAAACAAACGTTGTGGTCAAACATAACGGCAGCTGCTTGTACGTCCCTCCGGGTATCTTCAAGAGCACATGCAAGATAGACATTACGTGGTTCCCCTTTGATGACCAACACTGTGACATGAAGTTTGGTAGCTGGACCTATGACGGCAACCAGGTATTGCTGTAATGTTACATGTTTCTTGTTGCTACCACATCACACGCCTCACACTTCCCACACTGCACCGTTACACCCGCGCTGCCGTCTGGCCTGCCTGCTGGCCTGGCTCACCGGCCGTCGTAGTCACAATATTCTTCGATACACCAGATCGTTGCCGCAACGACTGGTCGCTGTTTATGCCCTCTTAGACCTAGTGCACGTCTAGCTGCTGGGGTGGTCGTGTTTTCATGTTAGAGTAGATCGCGGGTTTCGCGGTACGCGTGCTCGATTCGGCCAGTACTTATCTCCTATATTAATCAATCAACAACCATATAGATACTGGTTAGGTCTATAGGATAGGTATATATACGCAATCCATCGATTAATTATATAAATCACATTAGGTGCGACGGCCCTCACTGGGAACCATGTGACTGTATCGTTAGATTACTATTTTGCATGGAGCACATTTGCAATCAATGTCTCTGCTATTGACTTTACCTCAATCCGTGACCTGTATTTTTACCGTCCACTTTCATCCTGAGGCGACCGTTGGGCTCCCGATCTTTTATTATATACAATATATACGAGCCCTATCCTTCGATCCATGAGTTCGCCGTAAAGTTCTTAGCAGAGGCACTGACACTAGTTGCTTATGGCAGGGATGTGCAATCATGGTGCAAAATCAACTATCTTTTCACATTGGATGGCTCTTGTGTTTATCAGTTTATCTGTGCGAACAACGAACGTAAAACGCGAACACATTATTGCTCGACAACGCATTACTCACTTAATCAAAAAAAAAAAAAAAAAAGTTCCGCCTTCAAAGGCAAAATAAATTCGATGCTCGACCGGAAGCTAAATAAATGACTTTTTCGGCGGTCATCCTGCTTCGTAAATTTTTCCAGAGAAAATAGGATAACTTTGTTACGCCGAAATAAAACTAATCAAAAGCACGCAAAGCTCATCACCGAAATACGGACAAAACCAAAAACACAAAATTCGCAATACGAGTTTAGCGATTTGTGTCACTTGCGCTTTTGTGGAATTTAAACTTGTTAATGCGGATTAAATTGTTTGAATTATATTTAAATGTTTTGCATGCGTCCGTCCCTCTTCTTATATTTACGTCATGTATTTTGTTAAAAGTACTTTGTGCGTTTTAGCAAAATGTGATTCGCCTTTTATATTTGTTGTTTCAACTTCAGCGCTTCTTTTGTGCGACGGAGTCTGTCCGTTATTGAATAAACCGTTGAAAAGAAAAAAGAGAGAGTATTATGTACGGCATTTCAACGAGGAATTTAAATGCTCTTTATGGTTTTATTTGTGAGGAGTGGTTGATTCAAGGGTGCATTTGTGTTTCGTTTTTAAATAATTTTGTATATTTATTACATATAATATAGTCTTGATGCAGTAGACAATAAAATCGATGTGGTTTTGGAGACGGATCCAGTCCAACAGAAACTTACGAGTGTGCACCTTATTTAAAAGGCATTTGTGTTACAGTACGGTGAGCGGATATTTAGTGTTATAGAAGAGTAACATAGGTATCCGAAGTTTTCACTTTTTGAATATATTATTACAACCCTTTTAACGCATGGTCCGATATTGCATGTATATATAATACAACGTATATATAACGAAATGAATGGTGTAGAGTTATTAACGCGTCCACCCAAAACCTCAAACTCTGGGGATTTTATCTTATATGTGTGTAAAAGCATGCTGCTTTTGATCTTGTCGGCACGTCATTCGCTCATTTTTTTTTGTCGAACACTCCACTTCGCCTCATCCCGGTTGTGTGATTTGTATATGATTCATTTGGAACGAAACGAGACTGAAATGTAGGAAACGGCATCGGCGTAGCCTCTATAGAGTAACGTTGTGGTGCGCTCTCCTTCCACGTAGCTCTAGTACCTGACGTGTCTTGACAATTTCACTCGAAACTGTTTGACTTGAAGACAACCCATGAAGAATTTTACATTGTCGTCGTTGTTGTTGGTGTTGTTGTTGTTAATGAAGAAAAAGTCGACAGTTTTTTTGTGACGATTGTATGTAGACACTTAGATCCTGTGTTCATTGTAGCTTCCAGTTCCGTTACCGCCGAACCCACACGAACGGCACGCAGCAATTGCACCTCCCGTGACCTCGTATCGTTAGACACGTTTGATCTCATCTTCCGGTGAGCCAAGTTTTAGCTTTTCTTGTTTAGCGAATGTCCATACGTTACTCGACTCATACATCAAACATCCCCATTTGCACGAAGGCACGCATGCTCGAACGTCACGTCGATAAGTAATAAAGATGTCGCACGTGGCCAGCGCCTAAACCGTAATTGCAAGCAGCCGATTTAGTCCGCCCGCCCGCCATCTGCATGATTCGCTTACCGCTGCAACCAACAACCATACCATGATGCTATTCGAGTAAGACCGAGATCAACCAGATACCCAGAATAACAATTAAATCACGTTCCACCTTCAAGAAGACGGTGACGAAGACGACTGTCGTATATCCTTGTGTCAAGAAAGCCCGTAGAGAGCCCACCCGCTAAAACAACCATGCATTAAGATGTGTGACCGTGCATTCATGCATATGTATCCTGTAAACAAAATGTAGCACTCGCTAGATTTGTAAGGAACGATCTGGCGTGCGTTACATGTATGAGTTTTCTGCAGCTCGACCTGGTCCTCAATTCCGAAAAGGGAGGCGATTTATCAGACTTCATTACAAACGGAGAATGGTACTTGATAGGTGGGTGACATAGTCGGTTTCGGGTCGGGTGCGGTAGGCGAATAAACTCGTCGATGTTATAGGAATGCCCGGCAAGAAGAACACCATCGTCTACCAATGTTGCCCCGAGCCGTATGTGGATGTCACGTTCACCATTAAGATCCGGAGGCGAACGCTCTACTACTTTTTCAACCTCATAGTTCCTTGCGTGCTCATCTCCTCCATGGCGCTACTGGGCTTCACGTTGCCACCGGATTCCGGCGAGAAGCTCACATTAGGTACTGATCCTTGCTCTGTGTCGCACTGTGTGTGTTTGCACTCCTGTGTTGTGTGGGTGCCGCTTGACAACACTGGCCATGCTACTAGATCACTCGCATCGCGCAGTGTCATCATAATATCTATATATATTTATAATATATAAATATATATTAAACATGGCTACAGTACAAACTGCATTTACACGGATCGTTGGCCGACGGCCACGCCCCGACGTACAGATTCATATCAGCACATCATGTCACGGCCTAACACATCAACACTACTACTACTACTACTACTACTACTACTACTGCTACTTCTTCTACTAGTACTAACTGTTGTTGAAACATAGTAAAAAAAATAATTGTTACCCGTTGCCACTCCGTCAACTATATCTAGCGAGATTAACTTCCTACATACCGGCCACCCGATGATCCTGGACGGAACACAAACACGTTCAAAATTCGAAATCTTCATTTCAGGTGTCACCATACTTCTTTCATTGACTGTATTTCTCAACCTAGTAGCTGAAAAGATACCAACCACGTCCGATGCAGTTCCGTTGATAGGTATGCTAGGCCTCCTGGGAGCATCGTGTGTTTTAACGCCCTGTGTCCCTTGCCGGACTGCCTGTTGATACTTGGAGGGCCTTCGGCGTTTGTGCCCGTGCCAGCATGCAGTCCTCACACCAGCCCCCTCCGCACGCGCCCCTTATTCCTAGCATTAGCCTTACCATACGGCGCCCAAGGTAAGTAGACAGAGGCGCCGGAGCAAGAGGATCTCGTTGAACGCATTGAACGCAAATAAATAAATTAAAAAAAAAATGAGGGTTCACGCAGGCATCTATCTTTTAGTAGGCACTTCACTTTTTTTACGTTTTCACTACTTTTAACCCCGACGCCGCATTTGAATCCCGGTACATACGCCACCATCCGTTGCCCTATTCAAGCTGTGTTCTGTTGCAGGAGTGACCATCTTGCTCTCGTTGACTGTGTTCCTGAACCTCGTGGCAGAAACCTTGCCCCAAGTATCTGACGCCATTCCTTTGTTAGGTACCAACCGTTCTTTGTCTGACCTGCCTGTGCTGGCTACATCCTCAGTGCTGCCTGATGAAATATGTGTATCATTGTGTATATGTGATTGTTGTGTACGCGCGCGTCTGTTTTATTAAGCCGATCGCTTTCATTAGTTTTATTTGTTTCGATGCGATCAAAGAAGAAATGTTTAAGGCAGTCGGTGGTGGCGGGCTGAGTGCTGTCGACAACTATTACAACAACGACAACAACAACAACAACTATCAATTCCCCCCTTGTAAACGATTGAATTCGATGAGTAGGCGATGTAATAAATAAAAGAACGGTGGTCGCAGTTCGCCGTAAACATTTCCTCTTTGAGTCGGTGTCGTATCGGGACGAGCCGGATCGGATACTTGGATAGAAGGGATGGCAGTTCGGCAGCTCGACAGATCGGCAGTTGGGCTATTTTTCAAACGTTAGGCAAAATTAATAGCCTTCGCGGTTTCGCGGCACAGGTCACAGGTCAGACGCCTCGCGTGACGCACTATCTGTTGCAGGTGTGACTATCCTGTTGTCACAGACTGTGTTCTCCCTGCTGGTGGCGCACGTGATAACCCAGACGTCCGACGCTGTGCCCCTGATAGGTTAGAGTCACGGATCAGTCCTTGATTATTTTTTTTTGCAAAACACACGGCGGGCGAGGGCGCGGGCCCGATCTAGGTCGACGGACGGGATCGAGGGCGAGTGTAGTGTCAGAGATGATGATAATACCATGAATGAATAATGATCATCTACGAGTATGTCGGAACTAACTACAACTGCCGGGCCCGCGCTCTGCATGCGCTGCTGCTCTGCGATCTGCGAGCGTCGACCGTAACAGCACTTCGCCCAGCCACAGCCACAGCCACACGACTAGACTACTAGTCAGTCACCTTTCAGACTAGAGCTTTTCTTACTGTGTTGGGGTGAATGGTTGGCTACTGCGCCGAGGCTAAAACAACCAATGTTCTAACCACAATTCGATAAACTGGTCGAGATATAAAGCCGTCACCACGGCTCCGAACCTTTTCCAGGATCCTTATGGTCTAGTTCAGTCCTCTATATTTACATCCAGACTCCATATTCCACCAGTCACCTGTGTTACAGGACGGCGTTGCGCCGCTCTGTCAACCTGCGTCTCTTGCTGCTACTCAAACTCAGTCTTACTGCCTAGGCTGTCTAGGGTGCGCTCGTTCGTCGACTCACTCTTGTATGCCAATGACCTTCTTACCTCCAAGTATCAAATGGCTCTGTCCCACTAGGAGTATCTTATCTGTATGTTTTGTTGTTTGATATGTTTCATTTCCTATACTTACTGTTTGTATTTTACTTACTCTGTTTTTATGATTTGTTATTTATATCTATGATGATTCGTTACCTCCTCGTTATTATATAAATAATAATGGCGACCAGTAACTAGCAACTGAACTGAATCAGCAGTTAATCAATCGATTTGTACAGGGTACACACCGTACACTGTACATCGCTAAACGATTCACTAAACAATCCTACATAACTAAAATATGACGATGACGTGGCCGCCGGCAGCCAATTGCCGGGCTAAAACTATATAACTTATTAACGATTAACCTTTAACTATTACAAAAACTAACATTACAAACTGTATGTTTGTGTTAAAGTAATGCAATGGTATATCGGTGCATGGGGTGGAGCCGTGGCTCTTTCACTAGTAACAAACGTCAGTCGTCCAGTGCCAACGCGATTGACTTGACGACGCTCGGCCACGGCGACCACGCCAGGTAATGTCATGCACAGTCTTAAGCCAGACATAAACAAGCATCTTAATTAATTTTAAAAAAACAACAACAACAAAAAAAAAGACGTTTGCAACGGAAAAACGCATAACGTCAATCACTCTATTTTTCTTTTTCTCTTTGATCACTCGACATGTCCGTGTGCATCAATCAGTACGCTTTTGCCTATTATCCTTTTGGTCTATTCTTTGGCTTTCATCCCATCTGAAACCTAATGAACTAATTATGAATAAACCGGATCGATAAACTAATGTCATAACAACCGAAGAACGCGTAAATTAGTTCGCGTGGCAGCGTCAGCGGATCTGCGACTTAACCGCGACTCTGCCGCGCCGACCTCGGCCTATCTTCTAGCCCTTGTGAAACAATTTGAGGAGGGTACGATCGTAGTTCACATTTACATTAGTGTATATCTAATGTGGATTGTTTGTTTGTGTGTGCGTGTATGTATGCTCGTGAGTGTCATAGTTGTTGATAATTGTTTTATGTATCTAAATATATATACTCTACATATATATATTTATTAGGTAATAAAATCATTCGTTTTTTCATGTATAAGTATTACAATGTTCAGTAGCGATTCTGAGGAGTGTTTGTTTGTGCTTGGCGTAACGACTGTACATATTATATCGAACGTTTATTATTATTATTATTTTCTTTTATTTTTGTACCTACCCACCCCGTAGAAGTTAATTTTGTTTCGTTCGTAGTGTAGTGTAAACGTAACTATCTGGTAGATTTTGTCGTAGTTAGTCGATTTTGTAAGACGGCGTTAGACGGCGGACGCTGATGAAACGGCTGTTGCAGGGACCTATTTCAACTGCATCATGTTCATGGTAGCGTCATCAGTGGTCTTGACCGTGGTGGTGCTAAATTACCATCACCGCACTGCAGATATCCACGAGATGCCTCAGTGGGTGAGTGTCCGTCCCCTAGTTTCCGTGGTATCTCGTCGATTTTCTTCCGGCGTCCGACAACTTCCAGAGTTGACGACTCACCGTTCCGATCGATCCGAATTTTTACGAGAACTTTGAACTTTCCGCGAGCAAAGAACCTTGGAAGTTGTCGGACGGACGACGCGTCCGCAAATACCGAGCGAGAGAGAGAGAGAGAGAGCGAAGATGGATCTTTGTTAAAAATTGCATTGGGTCTGTTCAGATCAAGACGGTATTCTTGCAATGGCTGCCGTGGATGCTGGGGATGAGTCGTCCGGGTAAGAAGATAACCCGCAAGACGATCCTGATGAACAGTCGTATGAAAGAGCTGGAGCTGAAGGAGCGCTCCTCGAAGAGCCTCCTCGCCAACGTGCTGGACATCGACGACGACTTCCGCAACGTATCGACCGGAGGGAACAACGCTTCCATGACGACGAGCTTAGGCGGCACGTTCATGCGCCATCCGACCACCATCGAGGAGGCGGCGGTCCCTAGCTCGGGCACGCAACGCGACCTTCAGAACATTCTGCGAGAGCTCCAATTCATCACCAACCGCATGAAGAAAGCCGACGAGGAGGCCGAAGTGATAAGCGACTGGAAGTTCGCCGCAATGGTGGTGGACCGATTCTGCCTGATCATCTTCACCATGTTCACGATCATCGCCACGGTGGCCGTGCTGCTTTCGGCGCCGCACATAATTGTGCAGTAGGCGCAGGGTGACTGACTTTGAACGTTTACTGTGATACAAGCTTACAAAAAAAAGTTAGAAAGAAGCAACAAAAAGCAACAAAGCAACAAGCAGCGTATCGTGTCGGCACAGCAGCGTGTGCGAACAGCGAACGTGCCTTCCTGTGGAACATTTGAACTGACAACTAAAAGGCAGGCACCTATGTGCAGGCGCCCGCGCATTGCTGCTGCGGTTGCGGCTGGAGTCGCTCGCCCGATTCCGGAGCGAGTCGAGCGATTCGCTCGGATTCGCTCGGATGTTGATCATCGCGCGTCAGTTACCAGCAACTGGGCAGTTCGCACCCTCCACGCTAATCACTCTAGAGCTAGACAGTACCACAGTACACAGTACTCACGCGCAAGTACGCAAGTAGTCAGTTGGTAGGGTACTCTTAGTTCGAGGTACACACGTGTCTGCCTTTTGTTCGCCCATTGATATAAATAAAAGGTGTCCACCTGCATTAAAACAATTGTGATGAACTTCGCAAGTTAATTAATAAAGTAATCTAATGATCAGTTATAGATTAAATAGTATATATATAAATGAGTCGTAACCGCGGGTAAGATGCGCGAAGCGCACGTTTTTTACGGAAGGCGCCGTTTCGCCCGTAAGAAATGTAATCTAACTGTTTATTTTTTTACTTTCTTGCGGCGATTCGAAGCCTCTTAAGACGACGGACGCCGTGTGCGCGGCTCGTCCACCTCCTTGCTCACAGATTATTCGAAGAAAGATGTCGTCTTCCTACTATTGTTTATTTTATAAAAAGTGTTTTAAGATCATCGTAATAATGGCCGAGCGCACGTCGTCCTCATTTTATATCATGTACCATTTTTAATATCATATTTAATAAAACTTCGAATTTTTAATTACTATGATGCAAGTTTCTATACCAGTTGTGGATAAGCGGGTTACAAAAACCCGATAAATAATAACAATAATATTCTTTAATTGATGATAATAATGAATGAATTAACAATAGAATTTAATACGATTTTAATAAAAACGTTTCTTTGGGCATTTTATAATTTGGACGAGTAGCAACAACATATCTGTCGAGACTACACCCGTAATAATCGGTCGCGTGCCGAAAACCGACCTCTTCCTTCTCTTCCGCTCCTCCTTCTCCTCTTTCTCTTCTTATTCTTCATCATTTTTACCTCGAATTCTCGACTCGATCGAGGTCTCGGAAACGCCTCCACCGAACGAACCTACTCACTCGATTCACTTTATTCACTCCCTATTCTTTCTCCAAACGTACCTCCTACTTACAAGACACGCACTGTTTCTGGAATGAGAGAGACGATCGAATGAAGCGACCAGATAGTCTTTAGTATCCGCCAATTGTCCATTCTTACTTAGATTAGTATCGCAGAGATGTGTAGCCGATCTTTAGGAATTACGAAATATACTAGCGTAAAATGTTCTCCCACTTCCCGGCTTGTTTGATTTCACGTTTACATAAATAATAATATAACAATTCATGCTCAAATTTCGAATTTTTGTTCGCTATATAATATATTTATATTCTGTTATCCTGATGCTGGAATAAATAGATGAAATATGTCGAATAAATGTATATCGTATGGTTGAAATAATAAACGCAGAAAATTCAGTTTTAATTCAGTGTTTCATTTTATATTCCATTATTGATTATTAAAATTTCGAATTCATTATTACATTTTCTATCGAGACAAATAACGAACGATCTTTTCTAAATTTATCTGATCTTTTTCTTGTTCAGGTTTACTTTTCGCTAATGGTGGCACCCTACCAAATTTTATTAATTCATTTGTTAAATTGTATTGACGCGTGTGTAAAATAAAACAACACTAACATTCGATACACTTAAATAAAATAGTGCTGATGTATCTTCAATGTGTACGTTTATAAGATGTAAAAATGAGATGTATGACTATTTATTACGTAAACTTAGATAATTAAAAATAAACTTTTTATAATAAAGATTGTTACGATACAATAAAATTATTGTAAATAACGTATTTATTGGAAATAAAATTTCAAAATAAAACATCAAAAACTAAAATGCTTTTCATTCACCGACTTCCAAGTAAACGCTATCTAAATACAACGTACTTAACAAACAAAAAAAAAATTGATGCCCGGTAGGTAGGTAAGTGTACGTTACTTTCCTATATTACAATCAAAATGAAATAAAAATTTATCCAAAAAAACTTGTTACGTTATTAATACCTAAACCCCCCCCCCCCCCCCGTCTGAAACAACCAATGCCGCACGACTTATTTTTCCATAATAACGAAAAAGAGAGAGGGAGAGATATGGAGAGAGAGGGAGAGATATGGAGAGCGAGAGAGGGAGATATATGGAGAGCGAGAGAGAGAGAGAAATATGGAGAGCGAGAGAGGGAAGGAGAAAGACAGATGGAAACGTAGACCAATCAGATTGAACTAATTAATCAAATAAGTCCAATAAAAGTGTACTTCTGAGCACAAGCCACAAAGCTTCACACAATCTTTTTTTTTAAGATGACGTCACCAGTTCTTTGAAGGCGATCAATAAATTGTAGTTTTTAGATGACGTCGTCGAGACAAATTTTATTCAGGGTTTTACTACTTACCTTGACGATGAATTTTCAACATCATCTGTCTAATTCGCAGCGTAGTAAATATAGCAATTTTGATGTGTCCAGCTTCACTAATCACTTCGACCTTGTTAGAGATATTAAATTGCCGTTTTTGGGTTTCAGTAAAATAAAGTGGTTCACATATTCATTTTATTAAACATCCTGTGTACTAATAATCAATAAAATTTTTAAGACGGGAACACAAGTAATAAATACTGAAATATAAAATAATATATTCAATAACTGTACTGTACTCTTGGGTAATCTAAAAATATCCTCACCTTTTCTTTACGTCAGTCCGCATTTGCAAAGTTAAAAATAACCCTAATTGTTCTATCAAAGGTAAAAGACTAATAATAATTTGCGGTGGCGTCATAAATCTTTAGGTGGGGATGAATTGATTACCGTTTGGACGACTTCACCTTCAAATCGGACGTAATATAACGATGGTTTGTCCACATCTTGCACTTCTACACTCACAAACCCATCCCACGAATCCAATACCCTTTGCGCTTGAGGGATCTAACGAAAATTAGATGACTAAAACTGGCCCCACGCCTTCACGCACCAAATGTGGCAAAGATTTTTTTTGGTTAATTTTCGACTTTTTGCCCACGGCTCTGCCCGTTTCATTTCCCTTTATTAACTTCCAGCGTAATCGAAATTTCTTCCTGCTCTCGCAACGTTTATCACAGCTTTGTAAAACAACATTCTGTCGAAATTAAGGCCGACCTAAAATTGAGCTCTGTACCGAAAACGTGCTACTCGATGAAATTGGATTTTGAGCTAAAACCGACCTTCAGCAAGCCCAGATCGGATATCGCTAAAATCGCTTTTTGAGAGATCACATTCTATTATATGCCGACGCCGCACTCATCAAAGGAAAACAACTTCGAGCTCTTTCAGTTTTCTTAACGTATTTTTATTTGGCAAACTAACCTTTTATTAACATATAAATGGGAGAATTTGACGACGGCGCTTTGTTCGAGACGACGAAGTTTTGAAAATAGTGGATATAGTCGCGGAAAAAGCTTCAAATAACGATGACACGCTTGTCGACAAGGAATATTTGTTGGACCGGGCCATGGGATTTCAAGAATTTTTCGAGAGCGACTAAAATAATAATAAATAACGAACTCAAGTGTCCGGTTTTTCGGTCAGCAGCATATTTTTTACCAAACGATGAATTAAATCGTCCTTTCATATCTCTTTTTAAGTAGGAAATGATGACTACCACGCACGTTATGCCAGTTATTGCGTAAGAATAAATTGTTTATTTATTAAATTTTAAGCTCATCGATTTTTAATACGGCGTAGTATTAAATATCTCACAAAACAGATCAGCAGTTTTTATTTTATTGGCGCAAGATTAAATCGATTAAGTTGACTTTAAGGAGCGTGATCTGAATACGTAATAAAGATAAGTGGAAATATTTTTTCCGTGCGAGGATCGTCGACGACTCGCAACGTGGAGATAACTTGGAAGCGTACGATCCATAAAATCTTTTTAAACACTTAACAAAAGGGTTACGTTTGTTTCACGATATTGGTTAGGTGTCAACGGGATAAAAAAAATTAAATTTCGTTGTAAATATATACGTATATATACTTGGTGCACTCGCATTGGGTATGGCAGCAAACAGGTTTTTTGGTCAGGTTACACAATTTTTATCATAGACGAACAATCTCGGTATAAATATGTTTACAACTTTGAGAAGAGAGCAAATTGGGATACACTTATTTAAATATGTAATTACAAAAATATCAGTACCAACATAACAATACAAAAGTAGTTTGCGGCCGCGTGGGTTGAACATTTAAATATTCAACTAAAAAACTGGATTTTATTTGTACAAATTTTTCAATATATACATACAAAACTAAATGTACACAACCCATAAATTTGACTGTGGAATTGAACAGTCTTATGTTTAACTTACTTAGGTGTAATAGGATTACCGGGAGACAGTCTAAATTCACCATAATTAACAAAACCATCAGAATTTTTATCCATTAATTGTAAAATGGGATCCACAAATTGTTCTAGAGTTTCATCACTGTGTATAGAGACTGGTCCTTTGTCCCTGTCTAAAATCCACAATTAAAAATATGAATAAAAGCACACAACACAGACAAAAGCAAAGCTACCTTATGAAGAAGGTTTGCCTTGACCGGCAGCCTTCTGTTGAGCCCTGACAAATTCAGGGTAATCTATATAACCATCATGATTTGTGTCATCAACATTCAAAATTGGGTCAATCAGAGTGACCAGCTCTTCATCTTTGAAGATTTTGTCCTCTATTTGCCCAGCTTTTTCCTTGCTTCCCTGCTCTACAAGACACAATCAACCACCACCAACACACAATGCAAATACAAACCATGCCAGTGAATCAAAGATTTAATTAGTTCACAACCATCCAGCTTGTTATTATTGTCTGCGTCGTGCATTTTGAAATAATGGAACTGCAATTCCTGTTCTGACATTTTACTGGTGTCTATAGGCACTTCCATGTGTTCGGCTATGTGTCTACAATCAAGCATTCAGATAATGAGAACTTAAAAAATTGAAAAAATACTCTTTTTCATGGGCGATGTTGGCGGCGTTTAAGATCTGGTTAGGTTGCCCATGGTGGTGCATTTGCTGTACGGGGACTTGCTGTTGCTGCACCGGGACTTGTTGTTGCTGCACCGGTACATGCTGCATGGGGACTTGCTGCTGCACCGGTACTTGCTGTACCGGGACATGCTGCATGGGTACCTGTTGCTGGTGCTGCACCGGGACATGTTGCATGGGCACCTGCTGGTGTACTTGCTGGTATTGTTGTTGCGGGGGCGACTGCAAGGCACTTTCATTGAAAAAACAGAAAAAATATGTTTGTGTTTACCTGGTAGTGTTGCGGGGAAACTCCCGGCGGGGCGCGCTGGCCATGGACCCAGACGAGGAAAACTAACTGAAATATGCTAATACGAGCTAAAATTTTGACCATTTTCTCTAAGAACTTTGAGAAATTATTCAAAATAAGGAATTTGTCCACATACTACACTTTAAAATGAACACGTATGTCAAACAGAGCGGTGTCAACGTGACGGCGCCGAAGTCCCTAGGTACGAATCTCGCATTGGAATTTTGGAGGGAAACCGATAATAAAATTGATACGCACCGGATACATTTTAAATTCCTATTTACATTTGTTGAAAAGCATTATCTGTCGCTGCTGTGGAAGAAGGAAGGTAAATTTATCCTATTATTTGTTTGTGCAGATAAGAAAATGCATTTTGTGCGCCCTTAACGGATGATAGTAGTAAATAGACCCAAAGTGATAAGAATATTTGTAACAGTGCAAGGGAAATCGTTGATAAGTTTGAAAATAGGTGCTAAAGATGAAGCTCGTGGTTGTTTTTCTCGCCGCGCTGTCCGTAACCACAGGTAAGTTTTACATTTTTCCAAAAAAAATAAAAAAATCCAAAAACTAGGCCAGTTGTTTATGAAGGAAATAGGTTTTGGACTAGTTATTATTAATACGCCATTATTCAGCGTCCTTTGAATAATGGAATTTTAAATTATGCTAAACGGCTATTCATGTCTGCACTACATTCGATATTTATTGACTTTTCTACATTAAAATGCGTCTTATTGCAAACAATACGCAAATTACAATTTTAGGGCTAAATGTTGTGACGCTTCGCTTCTGCTGCGGCTTAGGAACAAAATATGCGAACTCAGGCCTCAAGTGCGACAGCTTTCAAACCCCCATCTCGGGGGTGAGAAAATCCGACGAAGCTGACTGCCTCCACTCGGTTCAAGTCTGCTGTAAAAACCAAAAACAGTATAACACCCCAACCCCCTCCAAACAAACATCTATCTAAACATTTTCCAGAGAACTAGAGTGCGCCCATGGCATACAAGACGCCAAAGACGAAAAACCCTGCACCTCCTCTGGTTTCCAAAAAGTATACACCGTTCACTTCCCCCCCGTTCGTAAAAAACTCATTTTGAAAATTTAAGGATTGCTGCGACGCGTGTCAACTCGGCCGCGATACCGCCAAAACCCAAAATTCTTGCCAAGATAGTCTAGGTCTTGGACTCCCTTTTGATAAGGCCTTCAATGATTGTTGTAACGACGTCCTCAGCTCGCCACCCACGACCACAAGTACAACACCAAGACCAACTAGTGCATCAATTAGAACAACAGCTGCAACGAATTACTCGCCATTACCGCGTTCGTATAGTCATCGTTTTAATGTTTGTATGATGTAACTGCATTTTATAGCTGTGGAAAATGTGTGCGATATTGGAGATGTTTGTGCCCAGATTTGTATACCGACAGAAGACTCCTACAGATGTGACTGTAATAAAGGATACACTTTAATGAGCGACGGCGTTTCTTGCAAACCGGAAAAAAGAGCGCTCAAAAAAGGGGACAGGTTTGTACAATCGGGACCCAAAATACAAGATCGTGTAAATCAGGTTCCAAAAATGCGCATTTGAACGTAAAATTTTATGAAACTTTCTTATTATTTTATTCGAACCGTGGAAAAATTATGATATGCGCATGCTCCAGATTTTCAAGCGCATGCGTTGAGGCGTGCCATTCGCTGATTTGACCGCGAAAATTTGATTTATGTTTAAATTGTTGTTGTTAGGTGCTCCAAGAACAACCCCTGCGACCACGATTGCATCGACACAGGTCTAGAAATAAAATGTTCATGTCGCGAAGGCTACGAACTGGCTAAAGATAAGCGAACTTGCAAAGGTTTACCTAAACACGGTTTTCGATATCTTTTTGACGTATTTTGTCGTAGATATTGACGAGTGTGCCCGCGGGATCCACGAATGCGAAGCTCACGAAGAATGCATCAACGAAGAAGGTTCCTATTTTTGTGACGATCCGAATTTTGAGCCCGAAACCGACATCAGTGACCCTGTGGACGTGAAATGCCCTCCCGGATACAAATTCAATTACGACAAATTAGTTTGCGATGGTAAATTAATAAAACTTATAATTCCTGTAAAAGCAAAGTTTTTCAGACATTGATGAATGCGAGTTTGATATAATTTGTGCTCGTCCCAAAACTTGCATTAACACGATTGGATCGTTTAACTGCGAGGAGCAGACCCCTCAGTGCCCACCGGGGTTTCATTTCAAGGATTCTATACAAACTTGTGCGGATATCGACGAGTGTATTACAGGAGAGAACGATTGCAATAAAGAATCACAAATTTGTTTGAACACGAAGGGGAACTATACGTGCGTGGATAAGGTTTCGAAGAGGACCTGCCCGCCAGGGTTTAAGAAAAATCCTTTTACGCAAAACTGCGACGACGTGGATGAGTGTTTAGAGAACGAAGATGCGTGTGGGCCGAACGAGGAGTGCGTAAATGAGCCGGGGGGTCATAATTGCGTACCGAAAACAGAAAGTCAAAGTAGCCCCAAGCCATACGACTATCCGTTACGGCCGCCATATGAGCCCGTTTTACCCCCGAAACCTACGGAGCTAGTGGTTGAAACCACGCCTAGAACCACGCCAACTACGACTCCGCCAACCACTACGGTCGCTAGTACCACTACCACTACCACCACCACTACCACCACTACCACGACGCCTCCGCCACGCCCAGTGTCATGCCCGGCAGGATATGGCTACGACAGGCGGACTAGCACTTGCGTCGGTAATCAATACACACAAATTTGTTTGAATTAACTTATAATAAACGGAAATTTGTAGATATTGATGAGTGCGAGGTCGACAGTCAACTGTGTGATAGCAATCAAGACTGTTACAACAGTCAAGGGAGTTACGTTTGTATCTGTAAGAACGGTTTTACCGAAGATCGTCCTACAGGGGCTTGCGTAGGTAAAAATTGGTTACGTGTTAACCTTCCAAGATACTTAGGAGTGTCATTTTAGACATCAATGAGTGTCAAATCGGATCCCATGACTGTACGGAAGCTCAAAGATGTGACAATACTATTGGTTCATACTTGTGTGCCCGAATCACTGGTTGTGGTACCGGATACACTCTAAATTATGCTAATGGTTTATGCGAAGATGACGACGAGTGTTCCTTAGGAACCCACACTTGTAACAGTTTAGGTCCTAATTTCAGATGTCGCAACACTTTAGGGTCCTACCGGTGTGATCCCGTTCGACAAACTATTAGACCTAGGCCTCAGGTTATCCCAACCCAGGTTATACCGCGTGTTCGTTCATCCCCATTCACCACACAGAACTATCCGATCATTAGTGGAACCAGAAAGAAGTGCCTGCCTGGATACGTGATGAACGAAAGAGGTATTTGTGAAGGTACTACTCTAACACTTTTTGTACCATCGGTATTAAGTACCTCCGATTGTAGATATAAATGAATGTGAAAGTAATCCATGTCGCAGGGGCCAAAAATGTCTAAATTTCAACGGAAGGTACCAATGCATTTCTGAATTACAGTGTAAAATAGGGTACGAACTGGACGAAGCTGGTGAATCCTGCATCGGTAAGTATATTTTTAAAGTAAATTCAACTTAAACAAAGTTGTATAGATATCAACGAGTGTAATAGAGGGACCCACAAATGCAGACCTACCCAAATTTGTAAAAACGGACACGGCTTTTATACTTGTGAGTGTCCGCCTGGTCACCATATAGATCAAGTAACCCAGCGCTGTGAAGACATCGACGAATGCAAATATTACAGGGTTTGTATACACAGAACGAACGCTCTTAGCTTCAAAATGATGCAATATTCAATTTCAAACATTCTCAAGAATCCAGAGATAAACAAGATCGCTCAGCGACAAACCGTACAAAAACAAATCCGTCTGCAAACTCGTCAGAGTACGGTTGAGTGTCTTTTTATCTCGTTTCAATACGATTTTTTGAATATTAGAGCTAATTTAGTTATTATGCACATCTCAATGAAGCGATGTTAGTTATAAATTCTTTGTTTGCTTGAAAATCTCTTAGTCACAAACTTCCCAAAAATTAATTCTAAAGAGCGAGCTTTTGTTGAACATGAATTTTAATTTTGACAGGCGTGCTCCATAAACGCTGAATGTATAAACACGGTCGGATCCTACAAATGCCATTGTAAAGAGGGTTTTCGAGAGCAGGCCAATTTTTGCCAAGATATTGATGAATGTAAAGAAAATGAAAGATTGTGTGAACACAGCTGTGTCAATATTTGGGGATCTTATCGATGCGCTTGTAGACCCGGATTTATACTAAATTACGACAATAGGTAAAATAAGCCCGTGTTGAAGTTGTTTTTACGTTTGAGAACCGTAGAACGTGCACTGACATCGACGAGTGTGAAAAATTCAAAGACAAGAGGTTGTGTATAGGGACTTGCGACAACATACCGGGGAGTTACAGATGTAAATGTCCTAATGGTTACCGCTTAGGGAGCGATGGACGTACTTGCATAGGTCTACAACTCAAACTATTTGTCTAGTTTTTACTCACTAAGGTTTTAGATATCGACGAATGCCAACAACGAGTGTGTTCTAGACCTGACGACATTTGCCTGAATACCAGAGGGGGCTACAAATGCTATGCTATTAACTGTCCGCCGCAGTATTTCCGCGATCCGCAACATAAAGGGTACGATTCAAACCGACTACTATCTCCATCTCATCTTTAAACAAAGACACCTAACGAAATGATTTTTAGACGTTGCAAACGCCCGGCGACACTATGCGACCCCAGGGATGTCCAGTGCATAATGATGCCCGAACAATACACCTACCACTACATTACCCTAGTCTCGAATTTGCCCATCGCCAACGAAAATGTCCAATTCTTCCAAATCAACGGTCCTAAATGGGCTATCGCAAGGGCTGAATTTTCGATGAAAATCGTCAACGTGAAGTGTCCCTACGGCATAGAACGCGTTAGCGAACGCTATTTTAAAATGGCGAAGCTTCCACACAACAGCATGCAGTTGTCTTTGGTCAGATCCATCATGGGTCCGCAAGAAATCGAACTAAAGGTAGAAATGCACTTGTTCGCTGGTAACGTAATGACAGCCAACGTGGTTTCTCACATTTTTATTGTGGTATCAGAATATGAATTTTAAAATTGGTGACGGTAAAGTAGATTAGACTTGACTTTAAGAGACCATGATTTTGTAGGAACTGAAACGGTGTTGGTCTACTTAGAGAAACTGTATTTATGTTTTTAATAAACACTAATTTGGAATCTGGTTTTTATTTCAATTAATCCACGTATAAAAAATAACATGATCGGACTGTTACGTCGAATCATTTATTAGTAACGGTATAATACAAATAGTGTTTTTCGCCGATTTGACGGTACTCCACCTGCCCAGTCTGTGGTCTCGCCCCACTCCTGCCACCAATTTTTTACCATCTGAAGTGAACGCTAGCGCGTTCACGAATCCCGTGATTGGAATTTCAAACAGCTTAGAGATTTTTCTGTACCTGTCTTCAACCTTCCAGAGGCGAATGTAACCATCTTGTGACCCTATATATTCAAAAAATCAGTTTATAGTGGTAAACAAAAGTGATACCAACCTGATGCTACAATATCACTATGGATTAAGGCGGCAACAGCACTAATCCAATATGGCTGCTCATTCAATGGGTCACATCCATGGGCGGCTTTAACTATACACAAAGGTTTTTTCTTTATGCAACTCCAAACACACACCTGGCTGAAAAAAACACGTGTACTACTTTAAAGAAAACATTTGAGATGATAAAAATACCCATTATCTCCCCCTGAAAGAAAATATTGTTCATTTATTAGCTTGACAGAGTCTACGTTTTCAGGTTGAGCGTTAAAAATTAGTTGCGATTCTTCACTAACTTTCCAAAGTCTTATAGTGCCGTCTCTTCCACCAGATGAGATGGGTCTGTCTGTATTTAGAACGTCAATTGAGGTTATGCCATCTTGATGTCCAAATAGCGTTTCAACAAAAGTCATTTCATCAAGAGACCAAACTCTGACTGATCTGTCTTGACTGGAGGAGTATAAAGTGTGACTGTTGCGTTTTAGACATAACCCAGTGATGGGTTTTTTGTGGCCTTTTAAAGTTCCTAAGTGTTTTAAGGTATTTGGGTCCCAAATTTGAATCATGCCTGAATTATCACCTACCACCTGAAATAAAAAATTAATCACACTTTTAACAAATCTTTTCTACTTACAAGATAATTGTTGTCTGTGGAAATGGCTATACAATTTATACAGCTAGTATGACCTTTTATTATATCTATATTTGTTTTAACAAATGGAATCACCCCTAGTTTCTTGTGTTCAGTGAGAGACCCTAAAAACCCAAGTTAGATGTGCGCAATCAACCTTTAAACCTTACATTTAACAACAACTCCATCTTTACTTCCAGAAAAAACCCACTTATCATCTGATGAAAGACACACACAGGTTATTGTATTGTGTTGTTCTTTGCATTTGAGGTTCTTCAAATTGTTAAGATCTGCACCTGTGCACTTGTCAGCGATAGTAACTTCATACTTTCCTATTTGTTTTAAATGGTCTGTTTTTAATCTCTTAGAGATGATTTCTTTACTAACTTCCTTATCTTCTAACCTCCTGCGCTCTAAAAATTGGTTATTAAAATCAAACCTCGCGTGATTCATAAATCTACCTTCTTTTTCAATTTCCTCTAAATAAATTTTGGCTAGTCTTAATTTTTTCTCTTGGGCGGTTTCATCTTCATCAGAAGACTTATCTTGGAGGTTAAGCCCGCTCCCTTCACCTTCGTCTTCGCTACTCGTTACTTCTACATCTCTGCTGATTTTTTCGGCTTTTCGTTTTCGTCTTTTATCAGCTGAAAACTAAAACTGATTGCAATTTTTACTGGAAGAGAAATGTTACTTACTTTGGTGGAACCATTAGCAGGTTTGGATTTTATGAAAAACGACATCGCACTTGGATAATTTGACTACTAATGTTTAAACAATTTATTCATTATTTTAAAATATAGAAAACTTAACTTATAACTTTAATAAAACAGTATCCACACGTGCTAGTGCTGATTTGTTTGGATTTTGAGGTTAGGTGACTTTCACGCCAGTCGTGCCAACATCAGAATCAGTGATACTCTAGTGAGAAACCAAAAGTCCTACAAAAGTCTAAATTTTCGAAGAAGCGTTTGCGAAAAACTCAAAAACGTGAAATTAACCCTAGTTTTCAGTGCCGGGTGTTGAAAAGCCGATTTGAATGATCAATTTAAACGGTGTGTGTTGATTCCGACCAAAATTACTGTCGCGCTACTAACAAAAACAAGAAATTTTTCGATCACGAAGGCTCCGGTTTTGTGTATTTTGCATTTTAGAGGTGGCCTAACCTAGCGGCGTCATTTTTGCATTTTTCGAAAATATCCAGTTTTTGTTAGTTGGGTGAGAACAATTTCACCACCCACACTATTTTAAATATGTTTTCCACACATGTTTTGATATCTCCGGACTCGGGCGGAGTTTTCGGCGGCAATCGTTCGTCCTTGAATAAAAAATCATGCTACCTTTGCAAAACAATAACTGTTCAAAATGTCGTTTACGTACTGAAAATCTAAATTAAGTCGATTCTAAGTGGCGTCATTTAGTTTTTGTCGTAGTTTTTTAACGAAGCGAAAAACATTGTTTGGGTAGTCATTTGTCAAAAGTAATTCCGTTTTGTAATATTTGAAATCAACATGGGGATTACTTGGTAAGTGCACAGTCAGTATTTTCAAAAAATATAACCACGTTTTTTCTAGGGAGGAATTTTCCGAACTTATACTTGATCCTTTCATTCATGTGATAAGCGAAGCGGCATTTTCTCTTTTTTTGAATATGCTGTTTTCTGCAGTTGTCTACCGAAGTAAGTTATCTTTCAGTTGTGACTTTTGTAATTTTGTATTTCAGCTACACCGAGGTATTTCACCTCACTTGCTTGTTATTTTGGATTTTGCCACTTGTTTTTTCTTGTCCCGATTGATTTGTGCAAGTTTTCTCTCTGTACTATTTATCTGTTTGTGGCTTTTTACTTGCTCTCACTAACGTTTCAAAAACTGATGGGTTGGAAATACGAGAACACGTTGAAGTTTTTTGTATTTCTCAATACTTTGTATTGGTAATGTACTCCCAGATGTATGACTTTAACAAAGCTGTGTTTAGTTTCAGAAATTACAAAAATAAGGACAACATTGATGATTTCATTTTGACTTACATCGTTTTAACAGGGAAACTTTTTTGCGCCGTTGACTCTTTCAAGAAACCGAGTTTCAAACTGTTGCAGATTTTCACACTATTGTCATACTTAACATACGCACCGTGGGTTTCTTTTAAAGATTTTTTGTTAATGCCTATGAATAAACAACGGCTTAAGGTAAAGTATAACGCGTCGGTAACACTATAATTGTTTTAAATTTCTAGAACGCGGATTGGTGGCTTAGAATGACGTCAGCCACCCCACATGCCATCATTTTCAAAATTTTATCACACAATATGTTGGATTTGTACTACAACACAGCTTCTAACTGGTTGTAAGTAATTCATAATTAAGTTATTTTGCCGCTCATCCTAACGTTACAGTTCGTGTTTTGAACGAAGCGGCAAAAATCAAAGCCTACTTTTATAAAAAAAAAATCTTTTTGTGGACTTTAATTTCAGGCTTCCCATAGTTTATTCCATAATCCATGGTTTCCAATACAGATGCAGATACTATTTCCATGCTCAAATTGTCGAACTGCAGCTACTAGCAGCCGGCGTTCAGGCAAGAGCACCGTTCAGCGTATACAAAAAACGACTAACACACTCCACCTACAAGAACATGAACTGGTTAACACCATACATTTTCGATTTAAAAATGGCAGAATCATCCACTACCGTCATGAGCTTCTTGAAACGATTCAACAAACCGTTGACCGCTTTTCTCTATAAAAGTAAATGCTGCTTTTAGTGTTGATTGGCTAGGTTTCCATTGAAAAAATTCTTCTAGAACTGGGAAAACGTCGCAACAAATCAAACAAAGACACCGTTTTTCCCCATTCCATGTTAATTTTAGTATTAATAGGTTCTTATAATTTCGATTATTCCGTTTTAAGTGCTGGTTTTCTGGGTGGAGTAATGTTCCAAGAAGAAGTTTTTGAAAATTATGAGGAACTGTACGGATTTTGTCTACACAAATGCGCTACACCATTCTGTAGACATGCCCTGTTTCGACGAAGTATGTTATTTTATTTTGTTAACGGCGTTCTTTTATTTCATAACCAGTTTCGTTTGTCTCTTGTTTTTGTTCGTCATGAGTTAATGGTACTTTCGTCGTTCGTTTGTAACAATTATGTTGTGCTAACTGATCTCAGTACTTTGATTTTGAATTGGTTCGTACATGAATTTATACTATTTGTGTTTGTTTATATAACTCATGTTTGTAGAAGGGGCAGACGCCATTTTTGAGTTTTTAAGTATTTTTTGTGAGTTTTCGTTAAAATAAATTTTGTATTTTTGTATGTGTTTCATTATTGCTTTTTAAGTGTTTGAAATGACCCCTCTAACCACCGTTTGTTAAAAAGTGCCTCTTATCGCTGATCACAAAAAGTGTACTTTTTTTTCTGTCTTGTAGCAGTATGTAGTGTGAGTGTATTGACCAAAACGTTACTGTTATATTTTATGTAAATATTTAACAATAACTCTTCGGCGTGATTAGTTAATAATCATGAATCAGACACAAATTTACGAGTTTTTGTAAGTCATCAAGTAAGCACTAACTGTGTAGCTATTTTTTTATTTGTAGAAGGGAGTTAGATATATTTTTACGTCAACCCGTATTAGAGGGACTTGGAAATGTGATCATTTTAACTATTAGTAACTTCGTGTTTCACAAAGCCGTTCGTACTACTTATCGCTGTAAGAACTGTGTATAGTCAAAGAAACGTTTTAACGCTCAAATTTTTAGACACAGAGGATGGCATATACCTTCCCGTATTTGCCTTTTTCTTCGGACTATTTAACACCCTAGTCTGTGGTACGTGGTTTATGATGAAGTTCGTTTTAACAACGGCTCTTGTGTTCGCGACAGTATTTCAATGTTGTCTTGTGATGAAGCAGTGGTTTGACCATTTCAAGCTATATCACGTCACTAAAGTGATTTGTGTTGTACTGGGTGCAGTTAGGTAAGTCATCACTAAAAAATAGTTGTGGACTAGAAAAAACGTCCGCGAAATTGAAGTTTCAGATTTCTCGACGACGGGGCAGATTTTCCCACATATCTTTGTATTTATGTTATGATGAGTTTTAAATTGATGAGTGCCGCAGACGATGCCCAACACCGACGGTACGACGACATTAATAAACTAGGGAATGGTAAAGTACCAGCGTGTGCCGAAGTCGTAGGGTACTTACTATACACGGGCTATGCACCATACAAGGATTTTTTAAGTCTGCGTAACAAACAACATCAGTGGGTAAGCCAACAAGTAAGAAAATTAAGTTCCTTGATTACCTTATTTTTTGGTTACAGAGTGAGCGCTGGTGGAAAATGATAGGGTCATCAGCGTCACGAGCGATTATGTACCGAGTCTTTTCCTATCAAATGCTTTCTTATGAGAGACTCGGAAACATCTACCTGTATATAAATCTACACCAGTAAAGTTAACTTTGATTATTCTTTTCTTTTTTAGAAAAAGTTATGTTCTTTTCCTCATTCGAGCTTTCCAGTTTCGGTGTCAGTACTACTATTGGCTACAACTCAGAGAACTAGAACCTATAGCAGCCGGTATCAAAAGAGGTGGTTGGGTCAAACACACCGCTTTTGATTTCAACGCTGCTGAAAAGTCCATTCGAGTTATAGATTTTCTTATAGCGTTTAATCTGCCTATAAGTTCATCTCTGCGCAACAGTAAGTACTACTTTAAAAGTTTGTTTTTTATTGGTTGAGAATTTCAGGCATCGCTGGGGAAACTGTAGCCGAGCAGGAACACATCGGTTTCCACGCACTGGTTTTGGTACTTGTTATAATGACTTACAATTTACATTATGGAGTGTTTTTGGGGTTGTTCATAAGTGGAATTTACTCACAAACAACTGCTGTGGATCACTTTGGTGTTAGAACTTGTCTTGTGGGCTGTCCAGGAGTTGGTTGCCGACACACGTGGACTAGACGTCAGAAGTCTTATCATTTAATGAGATTTGTTTTGATAATTCTTAACCAGATGCGTCTAGCTCTCTTGTTCTGTAATTTACCCGGATGGAAATGGCGTACTGCAATGATATATGGTACTTGTGCTATAGGCGGTGACGGTGTTCTACTGTCTCTTATTATGTGTGCTGGCTTAGAGGCACCTCTGCCTCTACCCCCTCGACGACGGGCAGGACCTCCAGGAAGGCGCCGCTAATTTTACAAATTTTAACATAATGATTTTATTTTTACTACTGAATAAACGTTTTGGCATTTTGTGAGCTTCTTTCTTGACACTCGTGACCCTAGAACATAAAGTGGTTGTGTTTCGATTATTAAAGCAGCGCTGGCATCTTATTAATATTTATTTAGAAATATTCAAAAGACAAAAGGCACACACAGAAAGTTGATTACACTTGTTACATAGTTGTTCATCTTTGTTAGCTAATTTTGAGTATAATACTTGCTGGTAGGGGCTTGAACACCATCCTGTGGTATAAAAAAATCGAAGTTACGTACTCACATTTTTGGTGAAAATAGTGTGAAAGCCCACGTGACTCATGTGAACAACTCGACAGTCCATTTTTCAAATAAATAATAATATGTGTAACAAAACCTGGTAAGTGCCTGAAACGTGTGACTGAACTGAATTTTGCAGGTGTTCCTACAGTTGGTAATTTAAATGAAATCGTTACTACTACCCCTAAATTTCCCTACGTGAAAATAAATGATAAAATATTGAGCCTTAAGTAATATTTCATTTTGTGTATACATTTGCAATTTACCAAATACCAAATATACAAATTCAGGCACTAGCTTAGATCACAAATGACCCAACAAGGAATATTAACTATATTTACACAATATACTTTATAAGGAGCTATAAGACTTTGTAATAAAGAACAACAGAATAGTATCTCTAAAATTCAATTTATAATCTTAAGAAATTGGTAAATTATTCGTAAAATACTGATTTTGTTAAACAAATTCTCGGTAGAAATATGCCGCTTGATATTTAGACGGAGCTAGGAAGCCCCGCCCTCAACACACTTTGGGCGGAGTTTATTTCAAAATAACGTATATCTCTACCACGTTTCGCAATCTTCAAGGAAATTAATAATCCGATGATCGTAAATTTGGGGACCTTTGGTTTATAAAAGAGAAATAATCAACGAATTATTAACGAACTTTGAACAATGCATAACCTGTAATAAAATATGAAACTTGGCACCGATATTATAGGTTATGATATAATTTGCCAACCTCTTTCTCGTTCACAATAAATAACTTTAAATACTTTGAAACAAAAGTGACAATTTCCTAGACACGAACAAAACAAACTTGCTAACAGAACGGACTAAAGAATGGTAACTAAACAAAGAATAACGATCTGTTTCAGAATTGCAGATATCAATCTTGTCTCACAGAAATTGGTATGGCCTTCTCCGTTGACAGATTTGATATGGAAGCTCGATGATTTAAATCCCACGACGTAACGCAATCAAGACTCTGCAAAAAACCATCGTCAAAAACCACTCCCTCCAAAATCATCACTGACTAATCACTTACATCAGTGCGTGATATTTTCCGATTGCGTTCCGAGTCGTTATCCGATTTCCTTCGTTTCTTCTTCGCAGAAATGGATTCTTGTCCGCTGTCGCCGTCCTCCGAGTCCGTGCTGTCCGAATCCGAGCTCGAACTGGTCGACGAATTACTAGAACTATCCGACGCCATCCCCGACGGCTGCTCTATGTTTATCCTGTCGGCCAGTTTCGCCAAATCGGGCTCGTTCTTCCTCAGGGCTTTCAGCCACTTCCGCGACAATTTCGGTCTACCCCGCGCCGTCTTGTGCCAGACCACCGGGAAATTCGTTCTACTACAAAAATTCTGCGTAACTGCGATCGTTGTGTCCAGGTTTAAAACCACGTGCCACCAGCCGCCAGGAACGAACACGGTCTCACCGGGTTTCTGCAAAATTTCGATGGGCTGACAGTCGCTGGGCCACGATGGGTCTTTTATTTTGGGGTAGATGAAGTTAAACCACGTGATGGCCTCATCACGTTGCTTGCCGCCCATTGATCCCGTTACTTTGAGTAATTCCTTGGGGGTGTGGGTGGGGAAGAGACACCATCTGGTTGCAAGAGAAAGCGGAAGTGCGTTAAACCAACTATACTGCGTTTACCGAACAGATGGAGTTGGAATAGGCAAACATTTTCGAACATGGCGTTGAAATGTCGCACGTGATCACTCCATCTGTTCGGTAAACTGACTATATTGCGACTTTTCAAGAAAATGAGACACCATCTGGTTGCACGAAAAATTGTACAGTTAAAACTCTTTTAAGGTTTGTACTTTGTACTGAAATCAGTGTTAGAGCGATTAAAGGAATAATTTTTCTCATTTTTTGTTTTTTCAAGTTTTTATTAACCGAATTTGTTTGAAACCTTTTGTGTCCTTGAAGGAGGGCGTTCCAGGCACTAGTTCCCAAGGGATCAATGTGTATCCCAGTCCCAGAGCGGGCCGGACCCATGACGAACCATCGATATGGGGGTCTGGGGTTTTCTCCGGCGTGTTTGAATAGGTCGTCTCTGAAGTAATAGGGCACTTCATAATCTTCTAATAATTTTTTTCGGCGACGATGCTGAAAGTAAATTTGTATGTGTGTAAAATTGAGGTTATGTGCTTACCTCCCCGAAATTGCTATCAAAAATATACAAAGGACTATCATCTTTAGAATTGAGCATATAATGTACATAGTACTTCATCTTCATTTTAACACTATAACCTTCATTATCTTCACCACATTTAAATTTTTGGTTTCGGTATTTTTTCACCAGTTTTTCTAAAGTCCACTTTTCGTTGGCTTTCCAGCCTACCTGAGTTCCAGTGATAACGACTGGCTTGTAGGGAAGCTCATAATTTGATATAAATTCTCTTTGTGAAACTTGGGATTCTTCGATTCGTTCGCAGTTGTCTGTGAATTCCCAGAAGCTTTCGAAATTATTTGCGTAGTTGCATTGGGTCCAGGATTCTTTTGTGTTGAGTTCTGAGTAAAGAAAGGTTCGTTAGTAGCGCAAATGACAATTTTTTAGAAATTTTCAAAAATTAGGTTAAGGATAGTTATGTACCTGGTCTAGCTTTTTTCTTCACTTCTTTTATACGTTTGCGGGCTCTGTGTGCAAAATTAACATCATCCATTCCTTGAAACTAAAGCAGTTTTAAAAATTTTTATTTAAAATAAACTAAGAAAATTATTTTAAAACGTTAACTGAACCAGCAACAGTCAAAACTCCACCTGAGGTGGCACCCCTGTCTGTCACATCTTGACAAATTGCACATGTCCCTAGGCGCTGGAATGCCCAACGGCGCAACTTTTTAACCACACCAAACTAATTTTCAAAAAAACTAACAATAATTTGCAAAAATAAGTACTCAAAAGGACTTTAATACACAGTTAACACTGTGTGTTAACACCAGCCAACCAGATTTTGCTCATTTGTTTTGAACTACACGTTAAAATAAATTTACACTTTTCTGAATAATGTTGTCATTTGTGAAAACACAAATAGGTGTCAAAATGACATTGAAATGCCAACTTAACTGACAGTTTTTGAATCAAACATAATATAAACGTCTAGTAAAGCAAAAATTAGTTTAAAATTACAAATAGCTGCAGGTTCTCATTTTACACTACTTTTACAACTAAATTAAAGTTGAAGTAACGTAATTTTTGCTTATTCTGCGTCATCATTATAATTATAAATGTGAAGGGAACTGAAAAAATGACTGTACGGTTTTTCAGCGAATTTATTTCGCAACAAAGAGAATTGTTAGTGTAAGATGACTCACACATTTTCAAAGTTGAAGTTTATGATAGTTCATTAAATACATATTGTAGTAAATATTAGGTATAGTTATAAGAAAACACTGTCTGAGTTCATTTGGTCAATTATAAATAAATGAAACGGAAAACCAACTTAAGATGTAAACCCTACCAAAATTAAGATTAGATTAACAAATTTGCATACAATTAGTTTAACTCTCTAGTAGATAGTGTAAACCTTAATGAACCCGAATTATGTAAAAGAATAAATAGGTAATGAACTTTATTGATATTTGGGGTTAATTGTGTTAATTATAAATAGATGCCACGTGTAAGTACAGTGGGTTTTTATGAATCCAGGAAAATAATTAATTCTTTAAATATCTTATTGCTCTTTTTTAATCCGACGTTGAACTTAAAGCGGATTAATTTTAGGTACATTTAGTTCATTACAAAATAAAGCAACGATACTTATCTGTCATAATGTTTTAACTTTTTAAATCGTAAACGAGCAATTTGTCCTTGTTTTTTTTTAATTGTGTTGAGTTGGTTACTTTGTGTATTCAATATTGTATTGCTTGTATTGTTGGTTGCCTATACTAATATTACATTATAAACACCGTTGTAATATAAATATCAAATCAAAATGTTTTTACACAAAAACTACTGGCACTTGTGTTGGTTTAGACATCTTTAATGTATGTGGTAATTAAAAAAACTAACGATCTTTTAAAGTATTGGCTGGATTCACAGCATTGTGATAATGTCACTGAAATGTCAAACTACCAACTTTTTGCTTTTCTTTAATTCATATGTTTTTTGGGGGAGAGGTATGAAAAAAAAAAACAAAACTTGATTTATTATAACGATTTATTCAACATAAAGTTGGGTTACATTCTGTACTTACCTAAAATACATCAATAAAATTGATATAAAATAAAGGTAAGTCCTAAGGGCTAATAATTTCACAGATTTGAGTAACAGCGGATCATTTACATTTTATTTGAATTATGAACGCTAGACCTTTTTTATACAACATTAAAATGAAAGATTTACAGCATTGCAAAACGAATATTCGAGTTTTTAAAAACAATTAAACAGATAATCAAAATTTTTACAGTAAAAATACTTTATACATCAGCTCTTTCACCCATTTCAGAAATACAACTGCAATGATATTCATTTTACATTTATAACTAACTAACTTATCTAATTAATCACACCTTTAATTTTAGGCTTAATTAACTCACATTTCAGTATGTGTCCTTTTCACTGAATAACCTGGAATATTTACAAACAAAACACTGCAAGTTCAACAGTAAGTAGTGTAGTCTCACTTCACACATGAAGTAAATTCTCTTATTAAAAATTACATTTATATTATGTATGTAGGTATGTAAGATGAAAGAGGACAGTTCCTGAAGTTACGTGTATGTTATATGACAAAATAAGTAAAAAATGTTCGAACTGGAAAACAACCAGCAACCATAAACCACCAGTTTTGAACAAAATCATCCTAACGACGAACTCATAGTATCACAGTTGCTCAACAAACTAAAATCGAAAAATTAGATTGTCGTTACGAATATGCTAAATCTTTTTGTCAAAATTCTACTTCAAACTAACAGAAGACTTGCTTACACTTATCAGATTAATTCTAGAATATAATTCGGTACAAGGTGTTTGGTCGATGGCTGGTTTTCCGTTCGTAAGCTACAACTCGAAATAAACCCTAACGTATAAAAAATGTCATGAGTACGTCTAGAATGTAAAATTTTGCTATAGTACAAGTTTCGTTTTGTTTGTTTTGATGTTTGTTATAAAATCTAATTAAAAAATAAGTAACAAAACTCCGAAACAATGACCGTAAGCGGGATGAGCCCTTGGGCTTCGACTCGGACGTTGGATGCTTATGTAGCTAACAGTTCTACTAAAACTGCTAAGCTGAGGGCCACGGCGATGGCGAATCTTGGTGGGGTGCAAGCGGCGAGACCAATTCCCATGGAGAGGTGCGACCAAGCGGGGATGGGAGAAGCCGAATTCTTGCCTCGTTGCATCGCGGCGGGGTGTTCCCCTGCAAAAACACGAATACTCAATTTTGATGTTCATAACGAGGCGAAATCGAGATTTCTCGAGGAGTAATTAGAAACTCACCGTTGAGAACGTGTAGCAGGACGCTTGCTGAGTCTAGATTGGAGGGGCTGCAGGTGTAGTTTCCTGAATCTTCCGTCCGGGCGTGGAAAATGATGAGTGTGCTCACTGTGGTGTCTGTTCCCACACGATCTGTGCGTATATCAATTGCACTGCGATCATATTTCAGGACGCGTTCGCCGTCGTGATACCAAAAGATGTAAGCTGGTTCTTCCAAAGACTGGGTGATCACGCATCTGAGACTTACGGTGCTTCCGGTCTTCACATAAATGTCGGACTCCCCCGATATTTCAATTTTAGGAACTGGAAAACGATTACTTTGTTATCGTTCAATTATCGAAAATTTCGCCTTTTTGATGGTTATTATTCGCCGGATTTCCACAATGGAATAACAATAGAACCCGCACCGTCCCGTCTTATTGAATTAGAACCACCCTATCTCAGCCCGAGGGAGGTGAGGGGATGATTGTTATGCCACTATTAATTAAATATGATTACCTCAGGCCTAAAACGTATAACGGAGTATTTCAATACATCCTACACTCATCCTATAAACTCCCTTAATCCTTACCTCCTACAAATTTTACGGACCAATAAAATAAATCCTATTTCAAGTATTCATTTCATTTTAATAATATCGATGCCATAGATTATCTCCACTTTGCATTCGCAAGAGCTCATATCGATCCACAACTTATGAAACCGTCATTATTTCGGTTAAGTCAAATTTTCTTGCTTTGGAACGACTGTCCCAAAAATCTCACCCCTCGTCTATTAAAATTAAACTCTATTACACCCACTGGTTCAGCATCGAGGAAAAGAAGCAAACGGTCGCTACGGATTCGTTAACTTTTCTAAATTTGATTATCGCATTGACGTTCAACAGAAACTCATCTAAATTAACAATCAAGACGTTAATCGCACACGGCGCGGACGAGATTTAGCCCGACAAATCAAAATTTCTCTTACGTACAGTACGAGAAAAGTTGTGCCGGCCCAGCCCAATATAAGTGTGAATCTTTTTAAAAGTGTACATACCCACGACGTTCAGGGTGATGAAGTGGCTCATTTTGGGTTCGGTGCTGACTTGACACTCATACTGTCCGGCGTCCCTGGGTTGCACGTACTTGACTTGTAGCGTCCAGGTGTCGGTGGCTTCCACTAGAAAAGCCTGGAAACGATCGTCGGCGATGAAGGTATACCTATCTACGGTGAGAATATGAGCGTCTCTTCTTCTGATCCACGACACGGATTTGTTGCCCAGCTGTTTTACTTTACAAGGGAGGTATGCGTGCGTTCCCAATTGTGTCGTTATGTTGGTGGTCGTTGTGGGATCAAAGTATGGCCCGGTGTATAATCCTGTGAATCTTTTAACTGCATGGGCCGCCTCTCCCCCGGAAAACACTGAAAAAACAAAGCATAACTTTAGAAACTAATACCATAAGAGAAGAGCGGCCCCGAAGGCCTCATCGTAGGCGTCATATAACACAGTAATTATGGATTAGTTTTTTCGATTTGGTGTGGTAAAGGCACATCTGTTGAATGTTCGTTATTGGGGAGATGATATATTTAGCTTTGGAGTATTACATATGCTGCGAGAGTAGGTCTCAGTGCAGCTCTGGCCTGGTTAATAATAATTAGGAACGGATAATGCGTGACAATGCGGTTAACTAGCGTTGTAATAAGTATTTTACGGCCACTTTTCCCGGATTATACACAAGTGCCTCCGGTTCCCCCAACATCGAAAAATGCGCTATTAAATATCCATCGTTGGTAAGACCAACCAGCGACAGCGTAGCTGTCGCCACTGTTAGTGTTATGAGTGCGCCAATCATGGTTTTAAAGATTCCATTGTCGGAAAAAAATTGTGGAAAAAATTTACGTCTAGACGCTCGCTTGGAATATGGAAAGAGTACAAGATAATTGCGATTGTTTTTGGCATCTGATGCGATGTTACTTGCTGATATGAATATGGATGTATGGGAAACGTGTTGGTATTGATTATTCAAATTTCCTTTGTTTAATCCAAGGGTCGTGGGTTGATGATCTTTAACCCGTTTTCCATTGTCGATTTCTTCGAATTCTTACGACATAATCACGTTTTTGTTGGATGAATGAAATAAAGACTTCAAGGGATTATTGGCTGGCGGAATAGTGAGGGGCGGATTTGAGTTTATTCGAGTAACTGAGAGTGATTTGCAACTAAAGCTGGCCTCATTATTGGGGATATCATTAGTGAAATGGAAGATGGAAATGTAGAGCATCATCAGATTTTCTTTGGGCAAAAATCAATGGCCAAAGTCTGGAAGGAGCAATGAAATGGAGTGAAGCCACACGTGGTTTGGACACCTTATAGAATTAATTTCCTTTCATATTTTAAACAGGCGTAGGTACAAAACTCCTAAAACTTTTATACATTTTACAGTCGGCTGGCTGGTCTCAGAACTTCCATACGATTTACGAACTTTTTAAGATAAGGCAATCTGTTAACAAAATTAAAAATTAGGGTCGACTTCCGAACTTCACACCCATTCAGAAAATTTGTTCAAGTGATTCCATTTTATCGATCCGATGAATATTGATAAATCACGTGGTGTTGTAGAATGTTAAAGCTTTGTTGGACTTAATGGTCTATGAAATTTCTGCCGATTGCACCCTGGTTTACTTTTTACCGCAAATTTTCGCCCCGACCCTCCACCCAAACTACTAAATATAGCAAATCTGTATATTTTAAACAATCACGTTGCACATTGTCACAGTTCAGTTGAAAAATGTCGTTTTCGTATTTTGTATTTTGTACGTCATCAATAAAGCACGCGACGAATCGGCTCGCCCGATACGTGTGCCAAATATCGGAATTTCGCGCAAGTTTATAGCATTAATAAGGCTCATATCCGTGAGCGCGTTACAAGCTTAGGAGTTCCTTATTGTCGTTTTGAACGAATTTATGTTGCCACCACAGTTATGTACATTGCACTCGACCACACTATCAGCGAACTTTGCTAATTACACACCTACGTCTATTTTAATACTCCCATCGCGGCTCGAGTCTGTTCGAAACAACTGTTTCTCCACACGTCTTCACATAAAAATACAAACTCTTAATTACGTTTCGCTCCCATTTCCACTTCCTCTTAAATTACAAAGACACCATTAACGGCATTTCAAGAAAAAGCAGTTCTTCTAATTGATGCTCTCAAAACAATTTCGTTTTTTCCTTAAACGCGATCGTAAAATTTGATATCCAACACCTTTTCAAAGTTCATTTTGTAAACTGCTTCAGGTCTTATGGTACCCCGTCGTGAGATTAAAACAATAACTCTAAAGCGACTTCGTACCGGTAATTTTAACACATTTCATATTATGAAGATGGTAAAAGTTTATTTTTTGTAAAAGTGAACGCGTAGTGCAAGTTCGGGCATCCACCCTTTTGTATTGTGAATTATTCCAAGCTTTCAGGAACATAAGGCGTAGGGAAGTGTTTTGCTACAGTCGTTTATGTGATATAATTCCGGTGCCGAGATTTCCACGTTATTTATGTGCAATAGAAAGCTGATTATACTTTACACACTCTGCTTCATGAGTGAATTCTTTTACTCGATTACGTCCAGGGACTGATTCTATGAAAACACAAAAAGGAACCTCACTTCTATTCATCTATGAATAATAAGTTTATTAGATAGTGATTATGATTATGAGAGCGAGAGGAGTCGAGAGACGGTCAAACTCCTGCCGTGACAACAAATATCTACATTTATTACGATTATGTTAGTTGATGTGTTCCTAGCTAATTCGCGTCTGTTTTTTCGTTCGTTTCACACTAGTCTGCGAAATGTTCGCCAGTAATTAGATTATTGTTTAATATGAATAGCTTACATAACATGTTTGTATTAACCACATGCAACATCAACCAGATACAATTAAACTGTAGCTAAGCATTTCGCTTCGACAAAGATGTTTGTTCTACATACTAACATGATGCGATATTAATCAAAATTACCCCATACAACTGTCAAACAACATTCAACAGTTTATCTGACGTTCTCTGCTCCGCTATTCAGTGCGCTACGTTCGGCTTAATTGTCAATTATAATGCAACAACAGTTTTTGCGCAATCGATTCAGACAATCTTCCACAATTAAAACTTCCATAGTAGATGTAAAGGTAATCCTTCAATCAACGAACAACTCGGCGCAATTATCGCAACTGAAATCATAAAGCTCAAATTTATTTCGAAAGTTCCAAAACTTGAGTCGTTAAAAGTAGTATTTGAGACGGAACGGCAAAATTTTTAGGGAAACTAATTCGTCGTGAATAATAAAATGCAAACATGTCATGTCGACTACGAATTAAAGAGAAGCTGTCGAAGAAAAATTGGTCTCGTTTCGCTATCCCGAGAACGGCTCGAGATACAGACGCTAAGGAAAATACCTAGCACATAAAAACATAAACCGGTCTTTGTTGCGGCAGAAGTTTCTATCCTTTGGAGGAAAGAAAAAAATCATCCAGTGACGTTGGTTTTCATTTTAATTGAAGATGTCTAATAGTAAGATTTGCGAAGGTCATTTGATTTATTTACACAACCGCGAGACGCATGTTGCATTAATGTAGATTTGTTGGTTGGTGGAAAATGTAGTAGGGTTTGAAATATTGAAAATAGTGTTTGTGGTCTGAATAACCACCATAGGTGAGTGGCTGGCGGTGAATTATTTTGATACATCCGTAAACAAAACGCAGCATCCGATGGAGTAAAATCGATCAACATAATTGCAGATGGAGACCGGCTGCATTGTTTATTACGCCGGTTAGGAGTCAACGTTGGTCATTTTAACTGAAGCAATCATGTTCAATCATTACATTATGTAGTAATTTACTGATGGAGCTTGTAATTAACATTTATTAACGAATGATTATCTAACATTAACAATCCCAGCTACAATTTGCAGAGTCGTTATTCGATGGTTTTGAATTTCCACTTGAAGCGAGTTCTCAAAACACGAAATACCAGCAGTAAGGGAATTATTTACTTGCGCCGTAATTAACTATATACAGTCTTCAAACGGTTTTTCATTCCTCTGCATTAATAAATATTACATGGATTTAATTAACTGCAATGGGCTTTAAAGGGAAATGCTTGAGTGTGGCATAGTAGACCGAGACTGAAAGAATTTAATATGTGCCGTCTTGTTGTCTCCACGAACAAAGACGCGTTTATGAAGTGGATACTACACTTTTCGCCCGCAAATTACAAGAATTATTAGAATTCAGCGCGTTAAACTCTAGGCATGTTTGTTATTCTGGTAATGTATTTTTTCCGAATCCGTTCCGGATAAGCTCTTTTCCAAGTGTGTTAAGAGCTTTAGACTTCTCAACTTAATTACTGTCCTTGGTAATGTTCTCTTCGTCACATATTAACTTTACTTTATCATTAACCCACCCCGAAACGATACGCACGAAATTACTAATCATCCCACTATTACTAGTCACTAATTCGCGATTTTATTTCCACAAGACCGCTGTATCAATCGCTATAATTTTGTGTAAATACAGTGAATAACAATTAGCTTCCAAGTTCCGCTAACTATTTGTCGACGAACTTTCTGATCGATAAAAACGTGAACGGTAATTTATTAAAAATTACTTTCCGGCTCTTTCTACACTCAATTACCTGCAGCGCCTAGCAACGAAAACACGACTTAATTAATTCAAAATTTAAACTCGAAAATGGCCAAATTTTCACTCGCAGCTGGATAGCTTTAAGAACATCGATATTCCGTTCCATTACAACACCACTCACTGTATATACGCGCTAATCAGTGTCGTTCAACCCTCGTTAGCCTGAGGTAAGCGTGGCAATTTTACATCGTCATTTTTGGTGATTGGGATCGATTTATTCTCGATTGAGGTTGGACGTTATCTTGTCAAGCGGTAAAAATCTACCGCTTACGCGATCGTTTACTTCAGTTGTTTGTGTTGGAATCTAGTGAAGGTTTCATGACCCCTATAGTACGAAAAAATAGGTCTGCCGTTTCCGTCTGTCTGTCTGTCTCCGTTTTTATCGACAGTTTGATTTTAGAGTGTTGTCAAATTCTACATGTGCAATTTAACTTTGAAACTGCAAAACCGAATGCTCTGGAATTTTGCAAATGTTTTAATGTTGTCGTAATCATGGTAAATCCTTAATCAAAATGTATTCTATCCTCCCCTTCTAAAAAATTGATGACGTCATGTCAAAAGTTTGCCGAATAAAGCGTATCTGAAATATCAATGCAATCACAAATTTTGTAATTATGTACTTACACAGGGTTAGTCAGAAAAGTTAAAAATGAGGCAATTTATTGTATTAATTAAAATCAAGAACGACTTACGCCATTTTCCCGAAAAAATCTTGATTTTAACTTATA